GGTGGAGGTCGCCCTCGCCGGCATCGGGCTAGGGCCGCCTGACGCCGGCGAGGGTCGGGCGAGGGTCGCCCTTGCCCGCTAGCCCAGGCGAGGGTCGGGCGAGGGTCGCCCTCACCCGCCTTGCCCAGGTGAGGGCCGCCCTCGCCCGACGCCGGCGAAGGAAACCCAGGGTCGGCCTTTGCTTGGGCTAGGCAGGCGAGGGTGACCCTCGCCAGATCCGGTGACGGCGAGGGTTGCCTTCGCCGGATTTGACAAGGGTTGCCCTGGCCCGATGTTAGCGAGGGCGACCCTCGCCCGACGCCGGTGAAGGCAGCCTCCGCCTGAGGCAGGCAACCTCCACCGTCCTCGGCTATGGCCGGCGGAGGGAAAAGAGGAAAAAAAGAAGAAGAAGAAAAGAAAAAGGAAAAGAGAAAAAAAAAAAGTAAAAGATGAAATTGTCCTTGTTTCGATCACCGGAACAGTGACGTGCTCGCCGACTGATGAGCATTTGACTGGTCGGCGAACCCGGGCCCTTATTTGAGACTAATTGGGCACTTCGAGCCTCTATTTAAAACTAATTAGACACTTCAGGCCCTTATTTAGTACTATGTCCACTTTGAACCTTTTTTTTAGAAAATGACTCCACTTTAGGGCTCCGTTCGTTTGGCGGAAAATATTCTCCTTTTGGAAAATATTTTCCCGGAAGTCATTTTCCTGGAAAATGTTTTCCCGGAACATAATTTTCCGGTGTTCGCGACCAATATAAAAAAGTTTCGGAAAATATTTTTCTCCGGCTACGCGGCGGGTGGCGGCGGCGTCCGGCGGCCGGCAACCGGCGGCGCGGCGGCATCGCGGCAACCGACGGCCAACGTCCGGCGGCGGCGGCGACGGCGGCGCGGCGACGGCGCGGCGGCATCCGGCGACCGGCGGCGGACGCAGCCGGCGATCGGCGAGGCGGCCGCGACCTTGGTGAAGAAGAAGAAGAAGAAGCTAAAATGATTTCGGTTTGACGAAGCGGAAGTCATTTTCCGTAGACTTAGGCTATTTTGTGAGGGGGAAGGAAAATATTTTCTCACGGAAAACGTTTTCCGCCCCCCGAACACCGAAAAACCCGGAAAATATTTTCCGCCAAACGAACGGAGCCTAAATACTGATTTGAAATTTTCCCTTAAAATTAGGGAAAATTCCAATTAAGAACCCCAAGTGGGGTCCTTTTTTCAAAAGAGGAACCAAAGTGAACATGGTATCAAATAAGGATCTGAAGTGCCCAATCAGTCTCAAATAGGGGCCCGAAGTATTCAATTTGTCTCGAGTAAGGGCCTGGGTTCGCCGGGCCGGGTCAAATCTCGCCTACGGCTGAAGATAGCTATCGTTCGCAACCTGGAACAAGACATTTCATCTCTGTTTTTTTTTTCTTTTTCTTTTTTTTTCCTCTTCCCTCCGCCGGCCATAGCTGAGGCCGGTGAAGGTCGCCGGCCTCAGGCGGAGGCTGCCCTCGCCCAACGCCGGCGAGGGTCGCCCTCGACTGGGCTGGGCTGGGCGAGCGAGGGTGACCTCGCCGCGAAGAGCGAGGCTCGAGCTCGCCGCCATCCGGACGAGCTCGCCCGGCAAGCTCGGCCGGGCGAGCTCTAGCTCGCCGGCCATCCGGCGCCGAGCGAGCTCGAGCTCGCCGGCCATGGCGAGCTCCGCCCAGATCTGGGCGAGCTCGAGCTCATGCCGGCCCTCGCCATGGCTGTGCGGGAAGGCGAGGGCGGAGCTCGCCCAGATCTGGGCAAAGCTCGCCAGCCAAGCTCGCCCAGATGGCCGGCGAGCTCGAGCTCCCGCCGGTCTCAGCGAGCTCGAGCTCCCGCTAGTCTCAGCGAGCTCGAGCTCGCCGGCCATGGCACCCTCCCCCTCCCCTTCCTACTCCAAGTTCTCCCCACGGAAGCCCCCGCCGGAGTCCCCGGGCTCCGCCGCCAGCCCCGCCCTACTCGATACGGCCCTCGACAACCCGGATCTCGGGCCCTTCCTCCTCAAGCTCGCGGGCGACACCATCGCCTCCGGCGACGGCCCTGCTAAGGCCCTCGACTACTCGATCCGGGCGAGGCCGGCCTCCTCGAGCTCGCCCAGATCTAGGCAGAGCTCGCCATGGCCGGCGAGCTCGAGCTCGCCCAGATCCGGGCGGAGCTCACCGGCAGCTCGCCATGGCCGGCAAGCTCGAGCTCGCCCGGATGGGCGAGCTCGCCGTCCGAGCTCGTCCAGATGGCGGCGAGCTCGAGCCTCGCCGGCCTCGGCTCTTGGCCGCGCGGTTTCGGACCGATGACCAGGGGAAGAAGAAAAGAAAAAAAAAAAAATTGGACAAAATTGCCCCTATTCCGTTGCCGGAAATGTCGGCCGGTCGCCGACCGGCGAGCTCAGGTCCTTATTTGATACTAGTTTGGCACTTTGGGTCCTTAATTGATATCTTGTCCACTTGAGGTCCTCTTTTGAAAAAAGGCACCCACTTTGGGTCCTTATTTGATAATTTCCCTTAAAATTATGAAGTATCTTGACCTGTTTAAAATTACGCGAGATCAAATTTATTCTGGCCATGACGTGTCTTCCCTAAGGCCAAGAGAAAACTCAAAACAATCATTATCAGTCAGAAGTCAAACTAAGACACACAAATCCTAGTCCAAACGACTGATAATCAAACTATAATCTATTATATTTAATCCCGCAAAGAACCTAAGTCGCTAACTATGTAGCTCACTTTGTGCCATAAGTTTTTTTGGATCACTTTAGTGCTAAAATTTTGAAAACGATCACTTAAGTGCTAAAATTTTTGAAAAACAATCACTTAAGTGCTAACTCCGTGCCGTACACAATTTTTCGCGGAAATTCGACGTGGCATTTTTTATTAATTTCTGAAGCGACGTGGCTCGGATATTGGCACTTAAGTGATCATTTTTCAAAAATTTTAGCACTTAAATGATCGTTTTAAAAATTTTAGCACTTAAGTGATTTTTAAAATTTTAGATCAAGTGATCCAAAAAAACTTATGAAACTTAAGTGATCGTTTTCTCCGACTGCCCAAAGTGATCCACCAAAGTGATCTCCGTACAGTTATGGACTTATAGTGTCCTTTTGCCTTTAATCCCATCGATTATGTACTTTCGGGACTTTTACTTCAATGAACACATTCGACCATACATTATACACAAAACATATTCCAAAATTGTCGTGCCTAATAGTGCAATAGCCATCAATCCCTTTTTGAAAATAGTAAAAGCGAGTCACATAATGAATTATATAGTCGTCTCTTAAATAATTAACAGCAAGATAACCATATGAAGTTGCATATGGTCCTACCCTTTTCCACTTTCAAACTCGAAATGATGGGCGATTTGGTTAAGGGCTTACCTTTCCTCGAACCCTAGAAAATTAGTTGCACACTATTACGCAGGTCTCGATCTTGAATGGTTTTCTCTGGGAAAATTCCAATTAAGGACCCAAAGTGGGGTCAAATTCTCAAAAAAAGGTCCAAAATGAACATTGTATCAAATAAGAGCATGAAGTGCTCAATCAGTCTCAAATAAGGACCCAAAGTGCCCAAAAAGTCTCAAATAAGGACCTGGGTCCTCGGCCGTCCAAAATACCTACCGGCCGGTGAAAAAGTTACTGTTCCGGCACCGGAACAGTAAATTTTTAATTTTATTATTATTTTCTTTCTGTTTTTCCTTTTGTGTTTTTTTTCTTTTCCTTTTCCTTTTTTTTTATTTTTTCTTTTCTTCCTCCGTCGGCCATAGCCGGGGCGAAGTGAGGTCGCCGGCCTCGGGCGAGGCCGCCCTCGCCTGGCGTCGGGCGAGGGCCGCCCTCGCCTTGGGGCCAGGCGAGGCCGACCTCGCCAGGTTCTCGGCGAGGTCGAGCCTCGCCGATCTCGGGCGAGGGCTCGGCCGCCGGCCGCCATTGCGAGGCTCGACCTCGCCGACGTCTGGGCGAGGCCGGGCGAGGCTCGACCTCGCCCGATCCTGGCAGGTCGAGCCCTCTCTCTCTCTCCAGCCTCGAAGTTCGTCCGGTCGAAGCCGTGGGAGGAGGAGTAAGGCCTTCTCCAAGGACCCGGGGCTCGCATCGCCGCCTTGAGCGACAACGAGAGGAAGCGATTCCGGACGATCTTCGACTTTGCTTCGGCCAGGACGAACCCGGCGTCGGGGCGAGGCGTAGAGCGAGGTCGAGCCTCGCCCGGCGGCGGCATGGCCGAGCCCCGGATCGGCAAGACCGGTCTCGCCCGACGCCGGTGAGGTCGAGCCCTCGCCAGATCTGGCGAGGCTCGACCTCGCCGGCAATTGGCAAGGTCGAGCCCTCGCTAGATCTCGGCGAGGCTCAACCTCGCCGCACAGCAGCGCGAGGCCGCCGCCTAGTCCAGTGAGGCGGCCCCGACGCGGCGAGGGCGGCCTCGCCTGAGGCGGCGAGGCGACTCGCCAGGCCCAGGCGAGGCGGCCTCGCCGACGCCGGCGAGGCGGCCTCGCCTCGAGGCGGCGACCTCCGCGGCCCCGACTATGGCCAGCGGAGGAAGAAAAGAAAAAAAAAGAAAAGGAAAAGGAAAAGGAAAAGAAAAAAAACAAAAGGAAAAACGAGAAAGAAAATAATAAAAAATTAAAAAGTTCTCGTTCCTGCTTAACAAGCAACTTTCTCACGGCCGGACGGCAGTATTTTGGCCTAGGGGACTCAGTCGCCTTATTTGAGACTTTTTGGGCACTTCGGGTCTTTATTTGAGACTGATTGAGCACTTCAGGTCTTTATTTGACATAATATTCACTTTGGACTTTTTTGAGAATTTGACCCCACTTGGGGTCCTTAATTGAAATTTTCCCGTTTTCTCTCTATACTGAGAAAGAGCAAGAAGTGAAAAGAAATTTCCCGTCAATTGCGGAAACACCTATTATAAATTGTTTTTAATTGGAAAAATTTCATGTGTGAGCATGTCGGCTCGGATTCCATTGACAAACGTGGCTTTTGCAAGAATGTGGACGAAGACCTTCGAGCATATATGGACAACTGAGACTGAGCCTCGTGTATCACCATTCATCTCGAAAATACACCTTCTCTCTTCCTCGGAGCGAGTCTACTCCTCCACAACCTTATGAATATGTCTCTGTAGCTGTGCAAGCTACTGTCGATCAACTGTTCTTAAGAAACATAACAAGCAGTTATCGAGGAGAAAATTGCGCAAGCCCATTGCACGTAAGTTCTTCATACTTCTTCTTGCTCTTCTTCTTTCTTAATCACTTTCTGCAGATGGGTTTAAGTAGAGTTCTTAACAGCTTCGGCGTCAGAACACGCGAAGCGTGTAAGTTTGAAGTAGTCCTGACTCCACAACTCTCAAGTCTATAATATGTAACTATAATATGTACTCGTGTTTTTTGCCGTACATGCTTCTTTTTATTCCATAACTGAGATGGGGATTAACGGAAATCAGGGAGAAAATTGGCTTTAACCGAAGTGTTCATTAATAGGTTGTGCGATAATCATCCCCCTGAGTGTGTGCACAGTAGTATTGGTGTCATTCGCTGAGGCTGCACAGCTGAAGATCAATGAGTTAAATCATACAAAAGCATTAATTTAGCTGAAGATCAATGAGTTAAATCAATGAGTTATATGGTGATGTCGATTAACGAACTTGTATTCATCTCTCGACTTGCTTGATATCTCATTGGACAAAATTGGGCAAGAACAGCCTATTCCTTTAAGTTTGTGTTGAAAACTCTATGGAGCTGATAACATCTACCAGTCCAAAATGCATTACATCTAGGTAAGAATATGAACAGGTGGTGACGCTGAAGTGTTGACAAATCTATTCTATTTGTCCACAGCTACAACCAATGGAACTCTGCGTTTTTTTGCTGGCATAATGTCAAAACAAAACTCTTGGCAGAACTTCCATATGAGTAACTTGTACGACTCAATGTTACTGTGAGGTGACAGTCACACGGAAGTTGTCATGTCCTCGTGTCGTGCTATATTAGAACTCGGAATGTGCATTGATTTATCCACACGAACATAAGAAAGCTTATTGGTTGGGTAAAGGCAAGTGAACGTTTTTCATCAAAATGGCATGGTAAGTTTAGGAGAAGGCATTTTATGGGAGTTGCGGTATAATAAATCATTCAAATACAGAGATGTTCATTTGTTATGTGAGAAGACACCGACTTTTATAATCCAAATTTGAGAGCTTTCCTTGCATATCTTTAGATAATTCATGCGGCAATTACTTATCAATGATAGGTAATTAAATAGGTGAGAGAGCGAGTCAAAGCTAATCTGACATATTACTCAAGCATGTTGGTCATATCAGTTTAATACGATGCATTCATCTAATAACTCAAACTTCTAAAATGAAAAACATTGAATTTCAATTATATTTCATGAGTTTGACTCAGTAGTTAAAGGTACACGATCTATTCGTGTTGGTAACATCAGTCTAATATCATACACTACTGAGACCAAGCCTAATATCCATCACCACCTTCTTCTCTCTTCCAAGAGTGAGTCTACTCCTCCACAACCTTATAAATATGTTTCTGTAGCTGTGCAAACTAGTGTCCATCAACCGTTCTTAAGCAACATAACAAGCAGTTACTAGAAGAGCGACTTGCGCAAGTCCACTGCATGTAAGCTCTTTCTTCTTCTTTATTGATTACTTTCTGCAGATGGGTTAAGTAGAGTCTTTAGTAGCTTTGGCGTCGGAAGACGTTATTGCTTGGAAGTGCACAAGTTTGATCTAATGTATCCGCGTAACTTTTGCCGTAAAGGCTTCTTTTTCTTCCATTACTGAGACGAGGATGAATGGCCATCGCGGATAAAATGCTTTAAACCAATGTGTTTCGAGGTTGTGCCCTAATCAAACCCACTGAATATGTAAGCAATAGTATTAGCATCATTTGCCGAGGTTACACAGCTGAAGATCAATGATTTCAGCATACAAAAGCATTGGTTCAGCTTAATGATCACATGGTGATGTCGATTGACGAACTTGTATTCGTCTCTTGACTCACGCTCGTTGTCTCATTGGACTTAATTAGGCAAGAACAATCATAACATTGGAAGTTGGTTTCGAGACATATATGGAGCTGACTACAGCTACCAGTCCACATGCATCACATTTCTAGATAAGGGGAAAAGTGTCAAAAAAGTCCTAAACTTTTTGCATTGGTGCCGATTGAGTCATAAACTTTTTTTTTTGTGCCAATCGAGTCCTAAGCCTTTTGTTTTTGTGCCAATTCATTCCTTCCAGCTAATTTTGGCCGGATTTTGCTGACGTGGATGCCGGCTGGCCGGCGCTGACATGTATAACTTTTAATAATATTTAATTATTTTTTCTTTTCTTTTCTTTTTTTTCTCTCCCCTCCCTCTTCCTCCAGCCGGTCGCTGGACCGGCGACTGACCAAAGGCCAGAGGCCATGACCTCTAGCGAGGGCTAGAGCCTCGCCAGCCCAGCGTGAGGCCGCCCTCATGGCCATCCGGCAAGGGCAAGCCTCGCTGGCCTTTGGCCGATCGCCAATCCGGCAACCGGCTAGAGGAAGAGGGAGGGGAGGAAAAGAAAAAGAAAAGAAAAAAAGAATTAAAAATTCAAAAAAATATATATTAAAATATTATTAAAAGTTATACACGTAAGTAAAATTAAGCCAAAATTAATCGAAAGGACTGAATTGACATAAAGACAAAAGGTTTAAGACTCAATTGATACAAAAAATAATATTTAAAACTCAATTCACATCAATACAAAAGATTTAAGATTTTTATTTTATTTTTGTGACTTTTCCCTTTTCTACAGGGATATGAACATGTGGTGATGCTGACATATTGACAAAGCGATACTATTTATCATCAACTACGAGTTGCATTAATGGAACTCTTGTCTTTTTTCCCACAATGTCAAAATTCTTGGCAGAACCCCAAAATTAGCAACTTGTACGACTCTAACTCTCTAAGTCGTTCGTGTCCACGTGTAGTGCTATTAGAACTCAAAATCTCCTTTGACTTGTCGACACGAATATCAAGAAGCTTATTAGGAAAATATAAGCAAGTGAACTTTTTTCATCAAAATGACATGGACGGTAAGTTTAATAGAAGGTATTTTATGTAGTGCGTCATTATAAAATCATTCATATTTTAATTGAGTGTTCATGTGTTATAAGAAAAGATACCAATTTTCACAAACCAAACTTGAAAACTTTTCTCCGTATCATTGCGCGATAAGTAATGTCGCGATAACTTATCAATGATAGGTAATCAAATACAAAAGACAGCAAGTTATAACTAGTCCTACATAAAACTCAAACGTGTTGATCACGTCACTTTTTACTGTCATATATTAACCTAATAGCTCAAACTTTTAAAGTGAAAATCATTGAACTTCAACCGTGCCCCCACAAGGTTGGCTTAGTAGTTAAGAGTATAAGACATATCCATGTGAACTAAGGGTACAACTTGTATCGAAATTCCATGCCGTCAAATGCAAAAAATTTCATATTTAGACCATTTATCTGGGCTTTGACTTATTGCTGCAATGTGTTAAACTGGAGGGGGGTATTCCATGATCAAGTATAACTTTCTTACTTAACTTATAACGTAGGCTTTGTCGCAGCGAAATTGCGCGCCTTAAATCCATCACAACCATATGTGTTTGCCTTTTCCAGATAAGCAAGTAAGCTGTCATGGACCAGAGGATGGAAGAGAGGCTTCTGGGATCAGAAGACGAGGCCAAGACCAGAGGACTGCGATGGAGGATTTGGGACGAAACAAAGACGATGTGGAGGATCGCATTCCCTGCAATATTGTCGAGGGTGACATTATTCGGGATAATAATAGTCACCCAGGCGTTCATCGGACATATCAGCGCGCTGCAATTCGCCGCCTTCGCGATCGTGCAGACCATACTCGTGAGGTTCGTCAGCGGAGTCACGGTACGCGGCATTGCTCGCCTTTCTTTCTTGTTTGGTACAAAATTGGTTTACTGAAGTGATGTGCCGGGTTTGCTTTCGCTTGCGCAAGCTGGGCATGTCGAGCGCCACCGAGACCCTCTGCGGCCAAGCCTTCGGAGCCAAGCAGTACCATATGATGGGCATCTACCTCCAACGCTCCTGGATCGTCAGCACCGCTGCCACGACCATCCTCATCCCGGCCTTCATCTTCGCCACTCCGGTCTTCACCCTCCTTGGCGAGGACGCCTCCATAGCCGACGAGGCCGAGCCGGTGGCCCTTGGCCTCATCCCCGTCATGTACAGCACCGTCTTCAGCGCCACCATCCAGATGTTCCTCCAGGCGCAACAGAGGAACTCCATCGTCATCTGGTTCGCCGCGGTGTCGTTCTTGCTCCACTTGCTCCTTTCGTGGCTCTTCGTGATGAAGCTAGACTGGGGACTAGCCGGAGCACTCGGCGCAATGAACGTGTCGTGTTGGTCGATGGTGGCGGCCGAGTTCGTCTATATATTTGGCGGGTGGTGTGGGGAGACATGGCAAGGGTTCTCCACGGCGGCTTTCAGTAGCTTGTGGCCGGTCGTCAAGCTCTCCGTGTCCTCCGGCGTGATGCTCTGGTAGGTCAAGAAATCGTAATATCCCCAAGCATTTTTCTTTTGGGCAATTTTTACCATCTCTAACATTACTTCTTACCATAACACTTGGGAAGTGTGAGACGATTTTACTGTTCATTCTTGAGAAAATAGATTTTTTTTTTCTGCCGATAGATCTCCGAAAGAGTTGTAAGTTTCAAAATTTGTTGGTAAAAAATATCAGGGTTAATACCACGAAAAAGCCCAAACTAGTACACCTGTGATAAATTTACTCTCCGTTAGTTTCCGTTAAATTTTACCATCAAATTGCTCAGTTGGATGACACGTAGCAGTTGACTGATGTACCAATTTGGGGTTTTATCCCTTTATTTGTCACGGGTTTATCAGTTTGTGATTTTTTGTAGTATTAATCTAATTTATCGGAGGGTAAATTTGTCATAAGTGTACCAGCTTGTGATTTTGGTGATCAAAAAATTAGTTTTGGATATATTTGTTACATGTGTACGTGGTCAAAATATTAGTTTTGGGTAAATTTGTCACAGTTGTATAAGTTTGGGGTTTTTCATAGTATTAACCAAAAATATTATCGGTGACTTGATTTTTCTCTATAACTTACAAATACTTTTATGCAATTACCAATACCTTTTTATAATTTGCTTGTCATCAATTTCTCTTATCTTTTATCAAATTTTATTTGCTTTTCTCACCAATGCCTTAAATTTACCGACTATTAGATGAATTTAGTATATATTTGAGTGACTTTTTTCCGATAATCACAAGCTATTTTTGGCTACTAACACTTATTTGAGTTACTAACTAATTTTCCTAAGAGGAGTTGTATATATGAACTATAAAAGTGAAATGCTAGGACAATCCGGAAGGATATAATTTCAGGTGTATGTCAAGCAAATCATAGCACAGACAATTAGACACTTACAGGCACCCACGTCTTCATTGTTGGCGTCTCACCATTTTCCTATACGATAATCGCTTTGATTAAGTTGTTAAAACAAATTTAGGCTGCAAGTGTTGTGTTCCATACTTTCATATGGTTTATCATAAGCAAATCCCGTTGCCTGAGCCCATCTGAACATGATCTGAGCAAGCCAAAGAGCATTGTCTCTCCAGGAATTCTGCGCACTCACTGTGTTTGTTTCTCTGAAGCTTGGAGTTGTGGTACAACTCTGTTCTTGTATTGCTTGCTGGGTACATGGAAAATGCAACAGTCACTATATCAACCTTCTCCATCTGGTAATCACATCAACGACTTTGTACCCACATTCCTACCCGACTTCTTTTCATTTTCGCTCGGTGTGTCACTCTCGTTGAATGACCCTAATATTCGCCTCTCAGCCTCAGCATAGCAGCATGGATCCTAATGATCGGCCTCGGCTTCCTAGTTGCAGCAAGGTACGAACTTGAAACATGTTGGTTTTTTTTTCTCTATTAGTTTTGATTTTTACCTCAGAAGATCAAAAGTGTGGCTCCACTTTCTAGTTTCTTGAAGTGTTCTGTGTCTGCTGATCTCTGGTGTATGCTAGTGTGAGGGTCTCGAATGAGCTGGGGAGAGGGAACACCAAAGCAGCAAAATTCGCCATCAAAGTCATCTTCAGTACGGCGACATGTTTCGGGCTGGTCTGCGCGGTCCTGTGCCTTCTCTACAGCTACCAAATTGCAAATTTGTTCACAAGCAACGAGGAAGTGGATGAGTCTGTGTCTGAACTCTCTTACCTGCTTGCACTATCGGTGTTCTTGAACACCGTCCAGCCAGTTCTCACAGGCAAGTGGGAACTGTGCACATTTATAATAGAAATTCTTAGCAAAACGAGATAATTACATATCAACAACAACATCGAGTTCTCGCTTCCACGGCATTTTCAACATGATAATTCTCTTTAATTTGATGATGAGTTGAAAAATTTTGGGTGAAATCAGGGGTGGCCATAGGAGCAGGATGGCAAAGTGGGGTTGCTTTTGTTAATATTGGATGCTATTACCTGATTGGGGTCCCCATTGGAGCTGTACTTGGATATGTTGCCCATTTGGAGGTCAAGGTATGATTCAGAGCTCATATATGACTTCAATGGTTTCAAGCAATCAACTTCCGAAAATTGCACCTTTTCCGGTACTTTGGTTTACTTTCATCTAACAGTTCAATTTAATTTGCTTACAGGGAATATGGATAGGAATGATTTGTGGGGTTACTTCACAATTGCTTGCTCTTGTCTACATGACATGGAAAACAAATTGGGATGAACAGGTAATTTTGACAAGAAGATCAAAGTTCGAAGATTTTGCACTTGATGCACTTAATTAGATTCATGACCGTGAATTCTCTTCCATAGTTTCCCGTATTATACCGACTAAAAAACAATCACGCCTTCCTGCTACAGGTAATCAGGGCATCGGAACGCCTGAATCGTTGGCTTTTGAAACCGTCTGAGATGTCAAGCCAAAACACAGGGAATAGCACAGAAGACTGAAGAGTGAGGACTTATGGTCAATGGATCTATACATTGTATCAGATTGGTATACTATTACTTTACACATACCACCTAAAGGAAAGTGGATTTGTACTCTTTGTCAATAAGAACATATTTGGTGTACCCACGGTTTCAGAGAACGGAACTAACACTTCTAGGAGAAAAATTACAGATTTCTATAACGAAGAGTGCATGCATGTACAGCGAGCATAGCAATCAACATCTTAATTCAATTCATCTGATCCAAATTATACAGAAAGCAGTAAAAACACGCACGAGACTTTGATCACTTTAATTTATCGTCCCAAAAGCATTAGCATTTTGCATCAACAATGTACAGGTATGTAGTCAAGAATCTTACTGGATCTCTGAAAGAAGCTTAGTCAAACATCAGCGTGTGAAGCTAATTCCTCATTTCAAAACCCAGCAAGTGTTGCGGCTACTGATTTAGGTCATCAGGCCATCTTTTGACAAGAGTTTTGCTAGCATTGCCCCTGATAATCAATGGCAAATACTCGAGCTCAAATGCTTAAACTACTAGTGAGCACAATGCAAACATTGAGCAGTTCGTATTTACTACATTCAATCCACTGGTTATCACTCATGTTGTAGAATGGATGACCTTATATCTCTCGAATATTTATGGACTGATTAATTAATCACGTCCACTCACATCGGTGACAATCAATAAACATCAAAAAGTTCTGTATGAAGTAGAGTAGTTTTAGTCATATGTTCAGGAGTGAATAGTGGAGAAGAAGTACCAGAGAGCACCGGTTGGATGCTGTTCAAAAGTATGAAAATAGACAGAAGAGGCGATAAATCAGCCAAGGCATCGGGAACCTCATAGCTCTCAGTGAAAATGTGAGCCTGACGCCCCCAGAAGAAAAGAAATAACACAAAGCGAACAAATCTGACGGCACACGATGTCACCGTCATCATGATCAAGAACTTTGCTGATAAAGTGCAAAGGCTTATAGGGATGATATGTCTAATAAGTTCCAATAACATTTAGTTTACTGTTGTACAGAAAAAGTTCATTGATCTAAGGAGAAAACTCATTGCTATGTAAGCTTTGTACAAAATTGTCGATCTTCTTTTTTAATCTAAAATCCAGGAGCGCAACCGTAATTAGTTTGCTATTTGAAGGGGAACTTACACAGCAACTCAATGTCATTTCCCTTCATCTAAATCTGAGTTCTCCAGGATAAGAATCGAATCCACAATCATCGACTCCAAAGCCGAAAGTATGGGAATGCCTTAGTCATTGAGTCAATTCCAGGATGGGTCAATCCCATAATTGTTGATCTTTGACAATTAATAGGTGTTCGTCAACTCCGAGACAAATAAAGCCATAGAAGTATGAAGAAAATAAAAGAATTCTACCAAGGTTTCATGAAGATTAAAAGAAGGGAGAATTTCTACAGTTAAAATGATATTAATGTTATTCATGAAAAGAGAGTCTATAGCACATGATGGTGATGGTTAATTTCTCTCTCCAGAAGCTTCAAAAATCATATTAAAGTTAAGAAAAGTATTGAGCCCGTGCTACGCACTGTGATTCTGTCAATTATACCGTACAGAAAAGTTATTGCTTTGTGGTTTATACTTCTCTTCTCTTTGTTTTCCCTTTAATGTGACTTTTGTGCTTTTCGCTCTAGCTATTCATAGTCCGTTATGCTGGTTCCCAACACAGAGATGGTTATTCAACCGCCAGCTAAGCTGCCGAGAATGAACAGCTTTTCGCAAGCCTCATGTTCTGAAGACGCGCTTTACCAACAAGTACGTGAGTGCCAAGTGGTCCATTCCCCTACGTACTGCCACTGTCGCATCATTGGCGAGCTCGCAGGAGAAGGCTTTGAGACTGAGCATGGAGTCCACTCGGGGATGTGGCGGCTGCTGCAAAGATAGGAAAGATACTGGGAGAGAGGCTGTTGCTCAAGGGCATCCCTGCCGTTGCGGTCATCTGTTCTGTTAGAGAAGCAGGTGTAAAGTTGCTGGCTGTTTTTGTTGTAAGACTCTGACCTTTGTTCGAATTGGTCTCTACTCGAGAAATATGGTAATGAAAGAGAGAGCGTGAGATTTTTATCTTGAAGGCTGCTTCTCTTGATCTGTTACTAGTAAGGTATGCGCATGTGCATGCATATGCTTGTATCGATTATCAGGGTCAGTGTGATTGAAAAGATGAGGCGGCGGCTCAACTCAGTAAACACTGAAGGGGTAATGTCCATTCAAGATGGCTCAGATTCCAATTCAGATTGATATGATTGGCTTATTAATCCGAACAGACTGAATATTAGCTTAAACACGATTCATTTCAAATCGGGCGCTTTCCGCTTTCTGCTTGAGCCTCTTGTTATTGAAAGAGAGAAGTGAAATCATAAGGCATTCTGGTACACTTTTGGGTACACCAAGTCCTCTGCAAGAATCCTTCCAAGAAGAGGACCTATACCAGTTTCTGACTTGCAAGGATCTGGCAATCTCTGTAGCTCCACGATATTTCAATTGATACTTTTGGGTGAAAGCATAGGAAGCTATATGCATTAGTCGAAGAATGATCAGATTGATTAAAATGTGGACTAATCATGAGAAAACAGCATGCCCCCTCTGTCAAATAGATATATTGCTTGAATGCTGGACGAAGCCAGGAGGAGTTGAGATTGAAGCTTGTTACTTGAGCAAAGATGAAAATCAGATGTCAACTGTAATTTCAGCATAAGAGACGGAATCACAGATAAATGAGTTGAATTCATTAGTAGTAACATGTTATAACCATCTTAATCACATTTAGGAACTTGTAATGCCATTCGAATATTCATGAACTTGTTTGGCTTCCCAAGAGATTCGCTTAATGTGGTCACACACGGTCAATTCTATAGGATGAGGCCATAAATCCCTGAAAAGTTCAAAAAAAGCTATCTATTCTGGAATGATTGCTCAGACAATTACTTCATTCCTTTCTATTTCTCCGCAACAATTACAGCTTCAGTCTCAAAATCTGCAGTGAGAGGACATGTGGCCCTCTGTCTTCTCAAGCAGGACAATGTCGAACGCTCTTAAAAAAAGGAGCCACAAAGAATGAAATGTGTATCTTTTCACCAAAAATTTTTGGGTGATTGGAATGACGTCAATCCGCTTTCTGTGTGGCCCAGAGAATGAGCAAAGCGCCTAGACTTGTGCAACTTCAATCTAATGGAAGGAACCTTACGAGCTATGGCTTGCCATATCATTTGGACAGCATCTCCATCCTTGGACGGGTACTGATACTCGTAGAAATTCTCGATCTCTTTCAACCTTTGCCACATTCGGGTCCACTCATTCTTCCCAATACTCCTAATGAAATTTATGAGGAAGTTTTCTTTTATAGCATCAGAAGTACGAACGAAGATGCAGAATTGGGAGTAGTCGAGGACATCCTCATACGGAAGCTCGATTTCATCACTAATGATGACCGGGACACAGTGACTGGCAATGGCATCAAAGAGGCGATTGGATGAGGGGGTATCACCAGCTATGTTGAGGCAAAACTTGGATGACCGCATTCCTTGTGTAGCTTTTCTGATTCCATCCTTTTGAACGCTTCCAAATGAGAAATGTACATCTTTCTCATCCTTTAGGAGATAGAACAACTCTTGCCGCACATATCCACCCTATATATCCGAAGAATAAGTGCAAGATACAAAACCGAAGTGAGAAGGCAAAACATCAGATATCTTGATCTGTTAACATAAGAAGTCCCTGAGCTGACCAGTTTTCCAAGAGCATTCAAGAAGATAAATGTTTGTCTCAAAATGTTCTCCAGAAAATTCCTTATGCTTGATTTCCATAGATATCATTACAACCAACTTTTTAGCAAAGAAAGATGGACATTCAGTAGAGGACATGCAAGATGTGAACTCCTTGATGCCTGTCAAAGCAATTCTCAAGCATATCATCTTAAACAGACAATGGCAGGGAGCCATAGCCAAACCAAGCTCAAATGGTAAGTTCAACTATATGTACTTCGCGCATTGATGTCGATCCAAGACAGGGAAAGTTTCAGGTACAGAAAGAAAAAAAAAATCTCATAAATAATAAGGAAACTGATAACTGAGAATGAATTTCGTGGGCGGGCATATTTGAAGGAAATAGACTGCCCAGACAAACCTAGTACCATGACTTTGCATCTAGGTGAACAAGCATTCATCTGAGTCAGGTAGTCCCAGGTGGAATAGTTCAGCAAGCAAGTCTAGAATTTGCTCTCAACTTCAATGAACTTTTGAATATTGCGATTAGTCTATATCGATACAAAAATGGCGCAAAAGATTATCTACATAGCCATTACTGGATTGATTATAAATGAATTTTCCTTGGCACAAATATTATGCACGTCCCCACCTCCTCAGAAAGGTTTGATGAAAACTAAAGGGAAAAAATGGATTTTTGGTTTTTAAAAGGTTGCATATGGAAACTAAACTTCCTTTGATTCTCCCAAAAAACAAGTCTTCATATTTAAAACTTACTTTTAAAGAACTCAAAAAGGAATGAAAAAATTCAAGAAGTGCTTCCTTAGTTATACAGCACTCACCAAAACTCCTGGTAATAAAAATTTCCACAACTACATTTCCATGTTTAGGAGTAAGGTTCAGCTGAATTCAGACAAAATCAGAGTTTTCTTGGATCTATCATCTGATGGAAACCTGAGCAAATAAGCAAAAAAATTTCTCCTTGTATACTCTCGTAGTAATTACAGTAGAATTAGGCTGAACTTAGACCTCTATATCTCACAAATGCAATTAAGACGCCAAAAACAGTAGATTCAACTCATATAACCTTCTTAAAAGTCTCACCACCAATTATTAGTAGCAGAGATTGAGTTTCATAGTCAAACAAGTGAGCTAGGATAATCAGCTAAGATAACATTACAAGTGACATACAGAAACAACGGATTCCAAGAGACACAGAGGACTGCAGATGACCATCACCCATAACAACTGTAGATTATAGAGCTAACCATTTACTTCTATAATTCGTCTTTTATAAATGAGTTTAAGCAAATGAAAGCACAAAGATGAAATCAGAAAAGGTGAAAGAGAAATTATGCATGAGAAAGACCCCAGTATCTAAAGGAGCAAGTCAAGAACAGACTTAAATATCACACCCTGGTGTCCATATGCAGTGACCGACATATCATCCTATCTAAACACTGGAAAAAAGGGAGAACTTACATCTTTCCTGTATATGGCGCCTTGGAAGTACAGCAAAGTTGGACGGCTATCAAAACCCGAGGTATCATCAGCGTAGTTCCTGATCACATGTTTGTATGGAGCAATCACATCCTTGTCGACATTGGCGATATTCGGAGGGTACCTCCCGAAGTCTGCTAATATAAACATAGCTGGCCACAGCTTCATCCTTGCATCCAACATGCTATTTGGATGGTGAGCCACAACTACATGGTCCCTTCCACCGGACCTCTTCCATTCTGGTTGAGCTGTCAAATAACTGACCAACTTCTCCTGCAGCAGCTTATTCTTGCTCTTCTTTTGATGCGGGTTCACCTTCGAGTACCGGTTGTAGCTTAAGGAAGAGAAGAACGGGACAAATATCACGTCGGCTTCGCTCGAATTATGGACCCTGACCGCCCCGCGACCGCCCAACGAATCAGCGAACTCCAAGGAGAGGAGATCCAAAGTCAGCCAATACTCTATGCTGTGCTGCAAGTTCAATCCACCAGGGTAATCCGGAACTTTAGCCCGAATGTCCGGCCAAATGCGGTTCCCTCCGGCTTTCCAATCCAATAGTCCAAAATGGAATTCCGGGGGCAAATCATACATGTAGACCTTGAGGGCCACTTTATTATTACTATCAGGCAAGCTGCATTTCACATCCGCCTTTGCTCTCGGCGCCTCGCCGGCTTCTTCCTCGCTGTCCATGAGAATCGATCGGTTCCCGACCGAGGGATTGACCTCGTTCTCGCCCCGGCCCTCGCGGCTGCCGGCGTCCAGCGTGGCGAGGAGCTTGGCAGTGGGCTGCAAGCCGTGGTCGATGAAGCGAGGCCGCCCGCCGCCGCCGCCGCCCCCCGCGGACTGCAGCACGAAGAACCAAGACAGGAGGAACACGACGGACGTGGCGGTGAACAGGGAGAAGAGCGATCTCCGGGAGAGCATCCCGAGGGCCGGGTTGTTCCTTTCGGCCATAACGACTTCCGCGGAGGCCGGGAACGAATCAGCGACTCCGGGCGGAGAACATCACGCCGCCGTTTCGGAATCAGCGGGAGACGAAGGAAAGAGAAGGACAAAAAACGGCAGCTGATTTTAAAGGTCACACGCGCGAATGGAATCGAACGGGAATGGAATCGATCATTAAATGCTCGTCACGTTCTCGAATTCGAGATCCGCCACTCCCCCCCGCAGGAAACAACGAAGAAGAAGAAGAAGAGAAGAAACGCGGACGCCCTACCGGGAACGGAAGCTCGGAAGACGAAGCAATGCAACGCAGGAAGGAGGAGGCTGACGAGGCATGGCTTCACCAGCACGTCGCCGCCGCCGCCGCCGCCGCCGGGATGGTTGCGTGCGCTGTGGTTGGTGGGAGGAGGACGGGGGAGCCGGGCATGGCGGACCGCCTTGAACGACGTCGCGAGAGGCGAGGAGTGTGGGGGGGAAGGAGATGGTCTTCTTCGGAGACGGCGAGAGGCTCGAATGGCGATGTTGGTGGAGGAAGGAGGAGGGGAGGATGCGAGAGAGAATGCGGGAAGGTGAGAGGAGGGAGAGGCGCGTAGGAATAGGGGAGAAGAAGGTGAGGGTGGGTGACTCTGTGTGGAAGCGGGGCTCGCGAGAGGCTTTCCTTTTCATTTTGCTTGGTCGGACGCGTTCTTCTCTTCCTTCCTGCTTTTTTTTTTTGTCCGCTGCTGCTCTTTTTTTTGTTTTTTTTTTTTGTTTTTTTTGGGTTTTCCCCTTTCTCTTCTTGTCCTGCTCGTTGGGACCCCCTGAAAAATTTCTCCCACCTCGTTTGGTGGAGCATTGTGCCACTTAATTTTGTCCTGCGGCTGTCTTCTCGACGAAAAGGAAATAAAAGAAAAGGTCGTACTGTGAAGGCCGTGCCACATCGGGATGTTGACCGGGGCTTCCGCGTTCTCGACAAAGAAACCTCTTCGCGCTGGCGCGATCGGCCAACGGATGGACGAGCCTCGTCTGTCGTGCTCGATCGAGAGAAGGTCGGGCCTAGGCGACGATCGACCCTCTCGGCACCGATAGAAAGTGTCGTGGCTCGAGGTGAAGGCTCGGGCCAAGGGAGCCGAGCGTGTCCTTCCTTATTACCTTCTTCACCAAGAAGCTGTCCTCGAAAGGACTTTCCTGTTTCTATAACTAAAACTAGAGAATCCTAAGGAAAACTTTCACACGTCTCTTGTTGAGATGCTTATATGAGTTGTGTTAGAAAAGTCTCATATTTGAGCATTGATGTGGTGAGATGCAGTATATATATCTTTATTATTCCATAATTCATTAGCTTAAGTTTTTTTATTAAAAGTAGGTGTCTAAACTGGATATATTGATGGATTTGGGATTGGACTTCGCTCCCCCTTAGCGATCTCTGCAACAAAAATATCGGGCATCGATGTTTGGTGAATATCTCGTAATCAACACACTTAGAAAAGTCACGGGCTTCTGCTGCGCTTTCCAACATGCCTAACGTTAGATATTGGATTGAGTGCGAGTTAAATCTCAAATCTCCCGGCCTATTGAAAGCAAGATAGACCGGTTTTTGGGATAGAATAACTCAATTTGTTTAGTCGCATCTTTCCTCTTTCGAGGATGTCGATCAAACCACCTCCACCGTTGCTCCTAAGCTAAGATTGGACCTACCTAAGACAAAAACTCAATCTAGCAACTCTTCTTTTGTCTCCATTCTTTCCCATAATGAACGGCCATCAACGCGGATCTCAAGGGACGAGTTTAAGTCAGCGAGGGGAGGGTTTCAGCAACGGGCACAATAACTCCTGCATTGAATTGATCAACCAAAGAATCGCAACAACTGGGGTTGATCTGATGATATTGACTGGGTTAGGTGATAACTCAGGCATGGACTCAACTAGCTTGCAATACAGTCTCTCCTCGTTGAAGCAGAAGAAGGTGGTTTCTCTTGTGGGCAATTAATTACTTCCAAGTCTGAACTTTTCTTACAATGTGGCTCTCTAGAGGACCAGGTTCGGTTGTCTCGTTTGATGCTTTTTTGTCTTCCATTCGGAATTGAAAATGATATCATCACGGACCCATTTGACGGAGGCCGGAATCTCGATGAATTGAATAATCGCCTCCGCCGAAACGATGTGTGTTAGACCTGAGGTTGTCATAGACTCTGTATTAATTTAAAGGGTAGATCTGCTTTGGGTCTGTAGGAGATTGAAAAATCATAATTGGGAAGTGAAAGATCGCTAAGACAGTTACAGCTTCTGTCCGTGATGGCGTGCTCATTTAGTAAGGTCTCATAGATGATGAAGACGCAAATTGGCTTATGGAAAGGAGACACTAGTGCTACTTTTACTGATGTCTTTCTCAACATTATGTGACGGCGATCCTTTTAGCTAAACTTTAAAGAGTTATTCACCTTTTGGCCCCCAAAAAGCGTGCTAAGAGCTGTAGATTTTGGCATTTACCTCCTTAAAGATGGGAAAAAAGGCTATATGATTCACCCGCGACAAGTTTATGGGTTGGATTTGTAGGCAAATTCCGAATCTGTAGTGGTGATCCTAAGCAAGGAAAGTGAATGTGAGATTTTTTGGGAGAAAAAGAATACCCGGAATAGGATTATATGCTCTTTACACGACTAGAGTAACCAGATTAACTAAATACGAATTTACGCCAGAGAAGTGCGTAAGAAAATCAATGAAATGGTACTGTTTTAGCACCCTTACCAGTGCCATTAAGGTGATCAATTTCGCGAATTTCGTATGCTTCGTGGGCACTGTACAAGGCAATATACAGCCCTTGGAGTGTGCAGCTAAATGCAAAAGCTTCGACCGGACTAATCACGGATTCCTCAATCACGCCGGGGTGATCTCTCTATGCAGACAAACAACTCCGGCAGGTCAGCAACAAAGAACCTTTAGTTAGTCCTCGCCTATTCAGAAAGATAAGGGAAGATGTCCAAAACCTGCACAAAAGTTATTTTTTCAATTGCCTTTTTCACCTAGGGAATTGCTGCGACACAAAAATCTGACCTTGATTACTAAAGTCAGAAACGAGAGTAAGAGCAACTTATATAAAGCGCGAGAGACAATAATAGAGCAGTGGCCAGATTCTGGCACACTACATTTGCAGATTCAGATTTGCACTTCCGTAAATTCTAGTCATCCACGTGACAGTGAAATGTAGACATCACAAGCAGCCGAGAAACAAGGAGCCAACAGTACAATTTTATCCATGGAGTGGCTGGTTACTTCAAGTTCTGGCTCGAGTCTATATTTACTAGATGAATGAAGCCTAGTATATTAAGACCGACTTACAAATCTACTTTATTAAGCAATTTGGCAAACTCATATTGTTCTAACACGGTCCACTTGGTAATATCAACTCACACCGGTCTTAATACGCGAAACATTACTCTTATCCAATTAAAAGGATTATCGTTACCCAAAGAGTCTACTGAGAACACTATAAACACCATTTGATTCTATATGTCATCCACAACAGCAGCAGCTGAAATGAAACCTCTGAATCATTATATAACAAGCGATGAACCATTTAAATATAAAGACCTAAAACCCAAGAAGATAAAAAAAAGATCCTGCAAAACGTCCCTTCTATTTCTTTCACATAATTATCACATCCTTGCTAACCTGTATCACATCCTTGCTAACCTGTACAAGCCAGTATATCTAGATACTAATCGAGTGCCCAAAAAAAAATTTTCAAAGAAAATTATAACATGCGTAATTCGCATTTCCCCCCTTTTACATAAATTTATCTCCACTATCTAATTTTCTCATACATAAAAACCATTACAACATGTCGGCGAGGCGCCACTGAACGAGGACACTACATTAAATACTTCCTACTCTCAGTGCTGTACTATCCTCCTCCTATCATCTTATCAAATGGATCCTAAAAGCATAGTAAGTAAAAAACACCAGATCATGGTAAGTAACATAAGACTCAGAGCTTGGAATTCTTTAAAAAAAAATAACTCTAGGCAGAAAGAATGGAATGCTCTCCTAAAATTACCTTCTGCAGGTTCCTCGACAACAATATGAAGCTTCATCTCACTATTCCACATACGAGGAACCCAGGAATCACAACCACAGCCGGACCACCTGTTCAACACTGCCCACCCTCCCTTACAACCACTTCTCCTTTTCTTGAAAACCAAATTTTCCTACTTCTATTATTTATCACCCTAAAAAAGATCCTCCTGTCACGCAGTCTCCAACACCTCACTCTCCATCTTCTCCACACACAGATTGCTTTCATCTCCTCTCGTTCTATTGCCTACAAGCAATGCACAAGAGGTGTGAAGAGGCTTAAGGAAACGTAAGCTGAGACCTAAGGGCACGAGTTGCTTTCTGCTGACTTTATTTAAATAAAGAATCACTTTCTGAAGAAAACTATTGACTTAAAAAGTTTGCCAAGTAAATGATTTACAAAGCATTACAACAGTTGGAAAACCTCGTATCACTTATTCTCATTTTCGTTTTTTACAGGATCAGAGGTCACAACAGGGAGATTCCTTCGATACTGAGAAGAAGTCAGCCTCCTCTCTAAAGGCGTCTTCCTCTTGCTCACCACAAACCTGTTTACTCCCTTCCTCATTGGCATTATTGATGGGAAATCCTCATCTGGTATTTGGCTCAGCTCTGAAATGTCCTTAATCTGGGCAACACGTCGGAACCACCTCTCTGCCTTTGCCTCCTCTGACATGTCCAGAGGATTAGGTTCTTTCACGGCTGAACCCTCCAAGCTCTTACCTCTCCACTGCTCTCTCACATTGAAACTTTCTGATGGTTGGCGTGAACTGCTCACCAGATTTGTCGTCTCTCTTGTATCTCTACCGGCTTGAAATGATCCAACACCTACACTACTCCCACTTCTTGTCTGCGGATTGCTGAAGTCCTGCAGCGTCCCTATATTATGTGCCCCTTTAGTCATGGTTGAACTATTTTGAGTTGAATTCTCTACAGGAGGTTTTATATTCGAGCTCCCGCCATCAACATGCTGGTTTTCCATTGGTTGCCCATTGCGATTAGGCAGCACCGAACTTGAATCATTTGCCTCCAGTTGAAGCTTCCCTGGAGATGCGGGAGTTGATTTTGCATCCAAAGAACCTTTATTAGTAGTATTGGCACTGCCAGGCTGCTGGTTTTCGTTTGTAGCGAAGTACCCAGGTGTGAATGGGACAAAGGGAACAAAGTTGAAATTGTTAGCTTGTTCCATTGCGGCGCGTCTCTTGTATGTTGGAGAATTCAAAGAACGATCTTTCATCCTTCCAACTGCAAATCGGTTCTCTCCCTTATGCTTGGGCATGGTCTCAGGGAAATCTTTGTCAGAAGTGGCAGATGGCAGATCTTGGGCATCATGTAATTCTGCAATTCTCCTAAACCATCTCTCAGAATTTTCTTCTCCTCTCTCTTTATCTTGGCTTTCGGTATGGATAACTGGCCCGTAAGA